AGCAGGCTCCTTTTGCCTCTCTGCATAAAGGAGCCATAAACCAGTAGATCCTTCCCCCGAGGATTGCGTTGGAATGTGAAACTTCATTGTTGGTGTGGGGCTGCCAGCATAAGGGACGTTCATGGGCAAAAAGGAGTGTCCCTATGGCCAGGCAAACTCTGGCTGTTGGAATGATCCCTTGGGACCTGAGACAGCTACCAAGTGCAAATTAGAACATCGCTGTGGCTGCCATCCAATTCCTGGCATTGGGGAGGGATGAAGGTAGATTAAAGTCACCTTTGTCCCTCAGTCTCCTCCGGTCTTGCACTCCTGGCCTAAAACTCCCATTCTTGGAAAATATGCTGCATGTCCATTGATTTCAATGGAAGCAGGATCTGTTCCTTACTTTGCATGTGTGTGTGTGTGTGTGTCTATTTACCCATTAGTATTTGTTTGTTCTTTTATACCTCCTTGATAGATTAACAGAAATAGCCTGTTTGAATTCTCCAGCAATGGAAATCTGCACTGCAAGCAGGCAGTTGGAGGGTAGGATTTTAGACTATGGGGTCTGCATGTAGCCTTTAAGCCTCATAGTGGGTATCTTTGCTGCAGAATTTGCCCCGACTGTTTCAGAAATAATTAATGTATCCTTGCTGTGAGACTCAATCCAGAGTGTGATCTTTAGTGTAACACATGACACTGGTACCGCTGCTTTGGCATCGTTCGTGGGATTCAGAAGACTTTTTGATCCTCCGTATTAGTTACACTTCTATTTGACATAAGCTTTTAATTAGTTGAAGGCACCTTCTCATGAACACCTTTCAAATCACTTCCAGCGTACTTGGATGGATTTTGGATGTGTGAATGTCTTAACACTGCAGTCAGCCTGCTGCTACCTTAGTTGGCTTCAAACACTGACTTTTTTGTTAGGACTGTAGGATGGGAGCAATTTATTGACTTTATTATGCAGCCCTTCAACCATTTCAACAGAGAGGTGTTTGGCTCACTACGCTTAAAACTTGTAAACAGTAGATGCAATGATATAAATATTACAAGCTATTTTCAGCCCTGATGAAGTTTTGTTAACTTATACCAAGGCTGAACATAGTCCTCCATTTGCAGATGTAAAGGTTTAGTCCAAGATTTTTTCAAAAATGCGGTCCTAGATTTCTGCTCCTAATTCCATATGTAGGCACCTAGGTAAGTGGCCTTACTCAGCACTTTTGAAAATCAGTTTATTTATTTAGGAACCTAAATGAAAAAATATAGGGGGACATCTACATTGTAACTCTTCCCCTTCTCCCCGCACAGCAGCGAGTCTCAGACCCTGGGTCAACTGATTCGGGCTTGTGGGGTTCATGATGTGGGGCTAAAAATAGCAGTGTAGACATTCCTACTCAGGCTGGAGCCTGGCCTCTGAAACTCGATGAGGTGAGAGGGTCTCACTCAGAATCCAGGTGGCAGCCCGAGCGGGAACATTTACACTCATATTTTATCCCAAAAGCATGAGCCCTGGGAGCCCAAGCCAGTTGACCCGGGATCTGAGACTCACAGCCTTAGGGAGTCTTTGCAGTGGTTCTCAAACTATGAATTGGAACCCTGAAGTGGGTTGCGACTCCATTTTAATGGGGTCGCCAGAACCAGCATTAGACTTGCTGGGACCTAGGGCTGAAGCCCGAGCTTCACCCCACCTTTGGTGGCAGGGCTTGGACTTAGGTCGTCTCTCTTCCCCACCCAGGGCGGCAGGACTTGGGCCCTCCCCCCCAGGGATATGTAGTAATTTTGTTGTCAGAAGGGGGTGCAATGAAGTTTGAGAGCCTAATTTTAGTTTCATATTTTTGCAAATCTCAGCCTTACTCGTATGCTATTGTATAATAACTGTTCCCAGTTACAGGTCACTACATTTCTGTATGCCACATAAATGAATCAGGTGAAGCTCTTGATCTTTACAGTCTCCACCCATATTTATAAGTTACTATCACAAGGAAAGTAAATTGCATGAACTCTGCTCATGAAAAGGTCACAGCCAAAGCCACAAACTGTGGAGAAGGTTTCAACTCAATCAGGCTCCTAGCACCACCTTTCATTTTCAGGCCTCCTTTTTTCCCTCCCTTTACCTCATCAGTGTTAAATGCTAGAAGTCTGAACATTGGAGTGGAAGAAGCTTTGTCAGGTTCAGTTTTCAGAATATGCTGAGTTCAGACACATAGCCAGAATATTCCATCTGCTGTAATGTCTCAACCAGTGCATCAGTTAAAGCTCTTGTAAAATGTGTTTAAGCAGTATAATGGGACTGTTCTGTCCTTTACCCTTTATATTCCGATTCCTGGCTTTTAAGTGGCTTTTAAAGCTCTTTAACCTTTTATTTCCCTGTCCGTTTTTCTATTCTTTTGCATTTATTTATTTCCTTAAAAAAAACCCAAACAAGAACAACAACCAAAAGCATGTTTCCCACTATGTGTCTGTTTCGAATTGAAAACTGTTCTCCCATACTGACTTTGGGCCCTGGCCTGCATTCCTTTTGCACTCCAAACTTCCATTCACTTCAGTCATCCCTATTGACCCGTTGCTCCCAAAATTTAGGATCAGCTTTAAAGGTCCTTTTTGTTATTTTTCAGAAAGGCTTCTAAATTATATCGGCAAGATTTATGGTAAGCAGGTACAAATTCTAACCCAGTTAATGCAATATTTATGTCCATGTTACATGCAAATGTAAGCTGGTTCATTGAAAACAAAGGGCCCGATTCTGCAAGCACTTCTGCAAATTGCATTAAGTATTTCCATCATCTGCAATGGAAATACACGAGTAAATGTTTGCAGGCCTGGGACCAAACAGCAGCTGGCCTTTATCCTGGCACAACGTGGGGAGGAGCACAAGTAATCTTTAATCTGCCCCAAGATTGTGGCCAGCCCCTGTGCTAGTATATGGGAGAGAAGTACCGTAACTTCTTCTCCTGCCCCTTCTCTTTACGCTCCCTGTGCAGGGTTGGCCACTCCCTGCTACTCTGCTTGTGCCCCCAAAGGTGCTGGCCTCTCCAAAGGCGACAGGGAGAAGAAAGCAAGGGGTGAGGCTTCTCCATTCTGGCCACCTCTGCTGTGGAGAGAGCATATGCAGCTCCCTTTAGGGATGCAGCACTGGATGCATTCTTCTTGCATGCCGATGAGCTCTGGGAGGCAATGCAGCTTCATGCTGGCCCCAGTGTAGGCCTGTGCCCGGTAGGCAAGGCTGAGCCCAATATTTGTAACACAGAAATTAAATAGCACGAGTGAATTACAGCAACATGTACTTTTCTTGCCATAACACTGTCTTGTTTTTTTTAATGCATTTGTAATTACGATTGCCTTTCTCCTGCTACATACTGCTTCACAACAAATATAATTCTTCCAAAGGCTTTGTGAGTGAAATAATCCCATTCATTAGTACAAATCATAAATCCTAAACTCATGTTGTGCAGGACCAAGTAATCGCAATTTACAGACCAGAAACTTGGGGGGCCTCATTGCTGGTTTTGAGTTAGCGGCTTCTGATCTATTAATTATGCTATAGCTGGTGGGCTCCTTTAGCTACCTAAAGGATGGGGGTACTTTAGGCTTACAGCTTTGTTCTCTTGTCTCTAATGTTTTAATGAGCCTGCAGGATGACTGCCTATGAATGAGGTGGGTTTTCCAAGTGTGTTGTTTAGTGTTAGCATGCTCATGCTAACACTAAACAAAGAATGTTCATTAGGAAGCCATTGTTTCAGTTTTTCTGAGCAATTCTTCATTAAGGAAGATCTTTGCAGCAATATGGCTGGCAGGTAGGAGAAAAAGGGAAGAGAGAGGCTTTTAGCTGTAGGCATTAGTGGATATTGTATCAGTAGTTCCAGCTCTAAAGACTTGCTTCGAGGCATTAATTGGACCAAATACATCTTCAGAAAAAAGATTAGCAGAAAAGTGCAATGGCTTTTGTCCTTGTGAGAATAGGGCTCTTCGTTTTGTGGCTGAATCAATACTGCAATTAATTATTTTTAGTTTTCCTTTATGGGTTTGTAAAACATTTCTTTTAAGGCACAATTTAAAATAAGTCCTGTTGTTTGATCGATGAGTGACTAATTATGATAAGTAACTCAACATGTTCTTGATGAAGCTTGCCTGTTAATGAACTTCAACAGCAAATATATCATAGCAGGATGGAAACAAAATGCTTGCACACTTGTGATTCCCTAAGAATTTTGAAATCTGTGTCTGAGAGTTTCCAAAGGGGCTGCTAGAGAAATAGTGGAGGTTTGGATTGCAGTACAAGAAATAAAGCCTTTCTGAAGTTACAAAGACCACAACCATGGTCTCGATGGGACTGGGCAGCGAAAGGGCGAAGAGGAGATCATTAAAGCTGGTCACATTACTGTACGTTGGCAGTAGAATGTAAGCTCTTTGGAGCAGAGAATGCCTTTATGTTCTGTGTTTGAACAGCACCTTGCACAATGGAGTCCTAGTCGGTAACTGAGGCTCCTAGGTGCTGTGCGATACACATAATAGTAACTGATATGTTAGTAAATCCTAAGGGCTAGATTGTGCCGTGCCCTGGAACAGGAGGTGCAAGTAATCTCTCACTCCTTGGTCTCCCATGCAGGTATCGAACAAAATAAATGCAAGGCAGTGTGAGGCTAGAGATGCTAGCCACCTAAAACAGGAAGGAGAAAATGTGTCATGACCCTGCCCTTCCTGCACTGGCTTGTGGAGTTGGTTAGCTCTAGAAGGAAGCTTTGGTAATCATTGTGCTTGTCTGGGACACAAAGCCTTTTCAACTCCCCAAAAGTGGGACAGTGCTTATAAGACATATTCTGGCTCTAATTTTCAAGAACTAAATTCGTATCTTGTTGATTTTAAATTGTCAGGCACAAACTATCAATGGCTGCTTCGTTCATCTGTATCATGTATGGTTTGGAAACGTTGTATTCCTGTCTGCTCGTTTCACATGCCATTTGTTTGAATCAGTCTTTATCAAATGTCTCACATTTCCCCTTTTCTCCTGGTTCTTATAGATTCCTTCCTGGACAAGGACTGGTACTATACCCACAAATAGGAGACAAACTGGATATTATATGCCCAAAGGTGGACTCTAAAACTGTTGGCCAGTATGAGTATTATAAGGTCTACATGGTTGATAAAGACCAAGCAGATAGCTGTACTATTAAAAAGGACAACACACCTCTACTCAACTGTGCTAAACCAGATCAAGATGTTAAATTTACCATCAAGTTTCAAGAGTTCAGCCCTAACCTCTGGGGCCTGGAATTTCAGAAGAAAAAAGATTATTACATTATATGTAAGTACAAATTGGCATTTGTTTATTCTTTTTCTTTTTTATGTATGTACATTGTCTGCAAGTAAAGAAGTTGCCTGGGTTTGTACTGTTCTTTCTTTTAAAATATTTTCTTGGCAGCTTGTTTTCAACAAGCTAACATTCCCTGCTGCGTCTGTAGGGCCTCTGTCTCTTTTTCAGGCTTGTATACAGTCCCTATAGATTATGCCTATAAGGGCTTCTCACAATAGCTTTGGGTACTTATTAAGTGCCAGATGGCTATATCCTTGTTCACATAGTACCTTACAACATGAGGAGTCCCACTGAAGTCAGTGGGGCTCCTTGCTAGGTAATATTCTACCAATTGTGAGTTTAGGTATCCAAACCTGGCCTCAGCCAAATCTTATTAAAGATTATGACCTAGACTCTCAGCAAATGTAAAATGACACAGCTCCCTCGACTTCAGAGACACTATGCCAATTTACACTAGCCAAGGATTTGGCCCTCTAACATTAAGGTCAAAGTATCTCATTCAAAGCCTTGGAGGCATTCCATCTTTTCTGGAGAACTGAGCAGAGATCATCTGCTAGTAGGAGTTGGGCATACTCCGGAAAGTCCATTTCCTGCAATTACAGGTAGGTTGGGCATTGGTGGACCTTGGTTCTTCCCATCTTTTTCTTTGTGTGTTTATCTTTGAAAACTGCTCTTGATATTTTTTCATTTGTAATAAACATAAATCATTTAAAAAACATACACAAAAACAAGGAAATTGAGTGTTAAAGGGAAACAAATAATAAAAATAAAGTGGATACGTACTCCTCTATTACATACATATTCATATGGACCGTTTCTGGTAATTTCATTATACATAAAAATATGTAATAAATCACAGGGAAATATGTAACCAGTCAGTGTAATTAAAATGTGAAATAATCACAGAATTGATTAAATGACAAATGTGGGAGTTTTAAAATGCAGTTTGTTGATGGTGTCAGGCTCTGCTAACCAACCAACCTCCTCCCCCGCCCCCCCCCCATCAGTCTACTAAAGTAGGTGCAAAAGAGCCTGATGCTGTAGTCTTTAACTCAGGCGAAGTGCCCATTGAACTTTGCCTGTGTAAGAACAGCAGGATCACATGCTGTGACAGTTGCATGTAATCCTAATGAAAATGTGGAACATAAACATGTCCATTTATATGCAAATAGCTGGCTTTAAGGGTGAAATATATCAGTTATTTAATGCTAGTTTAGGGAAACACCCACAGTAAACCAGATATAATGGAATAAATGTCACCGTTATAATTATATCTTGAGAATTATGGGCACAAATGAAACCTTCTTATAGGCTGTCAGGTCTGTCATTTGTGTGTCAACAATTCTCTGGGTAAATCCATGAGTAAGACTCATTTTCTTTATTTTTCTATAATTATTTCATTATAGCAATAAGACATAATAGATATTGTTTTCCTGGAGGATTCTTTGGTTGGTATAAGTCGCTTGGCCTACAGCCTTGTTCCTCAGAAATCATACTAGATTTTCAATAATACCTTACTGCCTAACAACATGGCCTGCCACACTTCCTGATTATTGTGGTATCAATAAAAGGCCTACCTGATATTATGCTGGCAGTGCCCTTTAGCACCATGGCCCAGATTCTCAAAGATATATAGTCACCTAACTAGTTAGGCAATTAAATATCTTTGAGGATCTGGGCCCATGGGTCTGATTTTCAGAAGTGCCTGCAGGTGAAGCAGTGGGCCTGTGAGCACTCAGTAGCTCTGAAAATCAAGTATCGTGGAGCTGAAACTCCCTTCTTTTCTGTCAGGTTTCAGAGGAACAGCCGTGTTAGTCTGTATTCGCAAAAAGAAAAGGAGTACTTGTGGCACCTTAGAGACTAACCAATTTATTTGAGCATGAGCTTTCGTGAGCCACAGCTCACTTGCTCATGCTCAAATAAATTGGTTAGTCTCTAAGGTGCCACAAGTACTCCTTTTCTTCTTTTCTGTGGTTCAGAGGTAGGCAATGGGCCTGAGTCAGATCTTAGTTATGCCAGTTTTACACCAGGTTAACTCCACTGAATTTGATTTACACCAGTTAAGCAAAACCAGAATCAGGTTGAATATTCAGCAGATGAGTGAACCGAGGAGAGCAGAGCTAGGAAAATCCTTTGCAATTTGGCTGTAAAATGCTGTTTTTATTAATGCTACTTGGAGCAGTGTTAACTTCTGCTCCACAGCTTCTGCATTCCTTGGAGAGGAGGTGATACCTAGCTAAGAATGGGGGAATCAATGACAATGTTGCCCTGAACAGTACTGCCAATCCCAATTGTTCAGAAATCACAAGTCAGACCCCAAAATTACTTAAATCATCAGATTTTGAAAATAATAAATGCTTTTTTTCTTGGACTTCTATTTTTTGAGGCTTCGGGGGTCATGTTTTCCAGCTTTTTCCCTCAATCATGAGGGCTTCTTTTATGAAACCTGAAATTCTCACATATTCTAACATGCCCATGGGAGCTGAGCAAAATACCACATATGGTGCGAGTTGGCACTGCTGCACCAAGCTAGCCTCACTGCTCAGGGCAAAGGCAGAGATTGGAAAGGGCATGGTCATCCCCAGCTGGGCAGGAGGAAGGAGTTGGCCTTTCTGTCCCATGCCTTACCCCACCCTTAGCCTGCCCTATTCAGGCTACTCTGTCCAAGAAACTTGAGGAGAGCTGAGGAAATGCTCTAGGCTGTTATAGTCAGGGCTGCTCCAGGTGGGATCTCAAAAATTAGAATATTCCAGGCCTCTAAACATAGAGAGCCAGCTTGGAAGACTCTCACCACAGAGATGTAGAGCATAGTTCTCCAACCCACCCATGGCCAGAGACCTAGATCTATGGCTAGAGCAATGCTGGACCGTAACTAGGGAATAGCAGGCAGAGGCCACTCACCATCCCAGTTAGTGCACAAAAGATAAGGGGTATCCAACTAGTGGTAGCCGGCAAGGCAGAGAATTATCATCTGTTGGTAAGAAGTAGCCAGATCAGGGCAAGCAACCCAACCACAGCCCCTTTCTGGGCTAGGACAAGGAGCAGTCATAGAAAGTACCTCAAAGAGAAGCCAGTTACTTAAACACCAGTCCAGAGAGATGCCAGAGCCAGCTAAGAGCCCAGCAATTCCCAAGACCATAAAGCTTATTCCCTGATATAGCCCTGTCAGAAGTAAGTACTAGTAATCAGGATATTTTCTGCCAATTATGTAAATAACATAATACATATTTATTATCTATGCAAATTAAAATACAAATCGTTTGCATCAAAATCCAGATTCCTGAATCTTCAGTTTAACAAGTGCTCAGTTCCCCTGAAAAAATGGATTAAGTTATCTATTGTATGAGAGACACAAATATGTTGTTGTAACATTTCCCCTTCGGTGTGTGTTTTTTGCATTGCATTTTTGACAGTATGTTCCCATCTGACATAGTCTGGTTTGGAAGCACTGTAAGATCCTGCATTCTCTAGACCAGGGGTCGGCAACCTATGGCACGTGTGCCAAACACGGCACGCGAGCTGATTTTTAATGGCATGCTGCAGCCTGCCTGGCCCCAGCTGCCGGCCCCGCTCAGCCAGCTGCCGAACCCAGGCTGGGACCCCGGCAAGCAGCAGCAGGCCATTAAAAATCCTGCCCGCTCTGGCCTGCTCTTCTCCTCTGCTCCCCCCGCCGCGGGGGCAGGGTGAAGAAGCTTGGTCCTGCCGGCTACTGCTGCAGGGCAGGCAAGCTCCTCCCTCGCCCGCCTCTTCCCCCAGCGTGCTGGGTTCATGCCCCTCCTCCTCTCCCTCCCTGCCGCTGATCAGCTGATGGGCCTTGTGAGGGATGGGGAGAAGCGGAGCCGCAGCGCGTTGTTCTCTGCTCCAGGGAGGAGGCGGAGAAGAGGTGGGGACGGGGCTTTGGGGAGGGGGTGTGGAATCAGGGCATATCCCGTCCAGCCCCCTGCTGTGCGCTGCTCTGGGCAGGGGCTGGGAGCACCCCCATGACCCTAGCCCGCACCCCCAGCCCTCTGCCCTGACCTCTGCATCCCCCTCACACACTTCCAGGCCTCTGCCCTGACCCCTGCGCCCCCCCACAACCCCAGCCCTGACTCCAGCCCTCCCCACACATAACAGCCCCCCCATACCGCATGCCCTGACTCCTGCACCTCCCTCACATGCCCCCAGCCCTCTGCCCTGACTCCTGCACCTGCCACACCCCATGCCCTGACTCTTGCACCCCCCACATTCCTACCCCCACCCTGAGCACCAAATGGGAGCTCCTGCACACCCTCCCCCCCACATTCCCACCTGCACCCCTTGCACCAAATGGGAGCTGCCCAGGTAAGCACTCCGCACCAAAACCTCCTGCCCCAACCCTGAGCCCCCTCCCTCATTCTAGCTCTTGACCAGGCCCAACACCCCAACCCCCAGCCTACTCCTTCACCCCCAGCCCTGTGCTCAGTGCACTCCCACCCTCAGCTCAGTGCAGAGAGAGAGGAAAAGAATGGGCTAGAACCAGGGAGAAGGTAGGTACCCACTCTATGTGGGCAGGGCCCCTCAGCCCACTGCCGATCTGGGGTCCCGGCCGCTGGCCCCGCTCAGCCCGCTTCCGGTCTGGGGTTCTGGCTGCCAGCCCCTTGCCAGCCAGGGTCCTGGCCGCAGGCCCCGCTCAGCCCACTGCCGGTCTAGGTGAACGGAACCCCAGGCTGGCAGCGGGCTGAGCGGGCCGGCAGCATAAGATCAGTATTTTAATTTAATTTTAAATGAAGCTTCCTAAACGTTTTGAAAACCTTGTTTACTTTACATATGACGATAGTTTAGTTATATAATATATAGACTTATAGAGAGAGACCTTCTAAAAAAATGTTAAAATGTATTACTGGCACGCGAAACCTTAAATTAAAGTGAATAAATGAAGACTCGGCACACCACTTCTGAAAGGTTGCCGACCCCTGCTCTAGACTAAGCGTGACCAGATGAATCATGGGAATCATGATCTTGGGAGGGAGGTT